CAGGAAGTGCTCTCTCAGTGAGCACTTCCTGCCACAGGTCCTGTCTCAGTGAGCACTATTTAAATGTACATTGTGCATAGAGATTTGATTTAGTATGAAGGTAACCTCTGTGTATAATTACTGAGTTGTCATTATTGGTTGAGAAGATTGCATGAAAATACAGTATCTGCAACATAATACCCGCTGATGTAGAGTGGATCAGGGCCGCCATCAGAAATTTTGGGGCCCCTAACATAGCTCAAGGTCTGGGCCCCTGGGTGCCCGCCTCCAAATCCCACCCACAGGAATACACACACAGACAAAAACACAGACACACACACTGATACAAAAGGACACAGACACACACACAGAAAGATACACACATACTAACAGACACACATACTGATACAGACTTACACACATACAGGCATACAGACACACACACACATACATACAGACACACATGCATAAGGAGACACACACACACACACTGTGTGTTTGTGTCTGTCAGTGAGTATGTCTGTGCCACCAGTTAGTGTGTCTGTTTCTGTCAGTGAGTATGTCTGTGCCTGTCACTGTGTCTGTCTGTCAGTGAGTGTGTCTGTCTGTCAGTGAGTGTGTGTATTTGGCTTTTAGTGAGTATGTCTGTGTTTGTCAGTTAGTGTGTCTGTGTCTGTCAGTGAGTATGTCTGTGTCTGTCACTGTTTCTGTCTGTCAGTGAGTGTGTCTGTCTGTGAGTGTGTGAGTGTGTCTGTCAGGGAGTGTGTGTGTCTGTCAGGGAGTGTGTGTGTGTCTGTCAGTGAGTGTATGTCTGTCTGTCAGTGAGTGAGTGTGTGTATGTCAATGTGTGTCTGTCAGTGAGTGAATGTGTGTGCCTGTCAGAGTGTGTCAAATCAGTGAGGATGTTTGTGTCAGTGTGTGTCTTTCAGTGAGTGTATGTCAGAGTATGTGTATCTGAGAGTCTGTGCCTGTCAGTGAGTGGGTGTGTCAGTTAAAGTGTGGGTTGTTTAAATGACTGTGTATCTGTCCATGAGTGTATGTCAGTGCATGTGTCAAAGAGGGCATGCATCTGTCAGTCAAAAAAGTGGCCTTGACATGAAGTGGTGGTGCAAATTTAGATTAGAAGGGTGCCTGAATTTAGTCGTGCCTAGGGCAGCACATATCCAAGATACACCACTGCTGACGTACATACATACACACATACTGACATAAATACACACATACTGCTATATACATACATACACACACATACATACTGACATACATACACACATACTGACATATATATACACACACTGTGTGGCGAAACCAACCTCGCCACTGGGCATTGGAGAAGCCTGTTTGCCAGCCTCCTGCCTGCTGACTATGGCCCTGCATTAAAAACCTTTTATTTTACCTATGTGAGCAGTGTTACCCCAGATAG